GGGGCAGTGGTGGAAAGCCCATCCCCTCCTCCCCTTGCTCCCTGACTGGACCTTCATGGTCTTGTCCACTTCCCATTACGCCCCTGGACGTTTCCCTCACCCAGAGCCCCTCTGCCTTCAGTATCTTCAGGTGCTTCAGCATTTCCTGGTGATGCTGTTCCCTGCCAGGACTGAGGTTAGAGCCCCGCTTTGCCACCTCTGCAGAGCTGTTTCCGCCGTCGGGCCGGAGCTTCCCCAAGCTGCTGCTTTGCAGAGCTGCGCTGGGAAGTCCCATCTTGCTGCACAAGCTTGCAGAGGTCCTGCTGTCTGACACCAGCTGCATGGTCCCTCTTACCACTGCCTGGATTGAGAAGGCAGATTTCTGTGCTGTTGGGAGATGGGCAGACAGTTTTCAGCCTAAAAGACATCAGACTCTTTGATCTTAACACAAATCATCCTTAAAAATACCCAAAGTGGTGGTGCTCTCATGGCTCATGGGCTGCCATGTCTCCAAGGGGCTGGATCCTGCAGAGATGCAAAATCACTGTGCCAGAGGTGGCACATCTGTGTCCCCAGCAGAGCTGGCAGAGGAGCTTCAGTGACCCCACCAGTGTCTCAGTGAGGCAGCTCTGAACCAGACCCCTGTCTGCCCAGTGTATGTTAGCCCAGATGCAAGCTGCAGCCCAGCCCCGCGGCCATGCTGGCAGGACACAGCCCTGTCCCCAGGCTGCTGCTTTTGCTAAGGACAGCCCTGAGGAGTGATGCTGAGGGCAGCACCCTGCTGTAAGGCTTTCAGCCTAAGCCATCCCCCTCGCCAGCTGCAGGCTCAGGGACACATCTGTCCTCTGCTTCAGATTAAGGTCTGTTCCATCTGTGCTGTGAGGAAGATGCAGGGCCAGGTGACCTAAGCCAGTCTTCCTGCCTGCACTCTGCCTTCATGGGGAGCTGAAGCAACACTCCCACCTCTTACAGATCAGCTAAAGGACCCCCCAGCTCCCTTTCTGCCCCCCTTCTCCTTTTCTCTTCTGTACAGAAAGCCACAGAGCCAGGGCAGGGAGCAGCAGCAGTTTAGTTTCTGAACCCATTCTGTTTCCTGTCCTTTGCCAAAACCTCTTCTGCTTCCTTACCCAGGGCGTTGGGGCTCGCCCACACCCAGCTGCCAGAGGAACGGGTGATGTTGTTTGTTTTTCTTGTCACGGTGATGAAGTGTTTATAGCAACCATCACTCCACAATTCACAAACTTCACTGATCTCAGCCCCAGCTTCTGAAATAATGGCAGAGGAAGCACAGCCCCTTCCACTGGGGTCAGCAGTGATGGTGTTTTAGGTCACCGAAGCAGAGGACCTTCATGCTGGGCATCATGAGGCTGGAGTTCACCCAATGTTTTTTGCTGTTCCAAACTAGCACCCCGAGGCTGGGGCTGCTCCCTGAGCCTTGTGATGGCAGCAGTATCCCTGTGGCTGCTGGCTGGTGGCCAGACGTGATGTGAGGACTGCCAGCCACCTCTCAAGGGTCTCCTGTCTGCCTCAGAAGTGATGGAAGCCACTAGTAGGGTACAGCAAGCCAGCATCTCTCAGCCGCTCCCCCAAAAAGCTGAGATTTGCCCTGAGTATCCTGCTCTCAGCAGCTCCCCTGTTGCGGGAGCAGCACAACCAGGGCATCGCTGCACTGGGAGGGGAGGGATGGTCACTGCCTGTCCCCAGCTCCTGCTGGGGCTCCGAGCAGAGCACAGTTGAGTTATGCTGGAAGCCACGCTGCTGCCTGTCTGCACAGCCCACACTCCAGGCCACGGAGATTTACCGTTCAACAGAGAAAAGGTGATGTCTGCTGACAGCCCACTTCGCCAGCACGCCGGCCGCTGCCGAACTTCGCTGCGCAGCAGAGGGGAGCGCCTGGCTCGGGCCCCCCTTCCCTACCCAAATGCGATACAGCTGTTTCTGCTTCCTCTCCAAAGACCAGAGTGAGTTTTAAAAATCAATTTATCATGTATTTTCTTTGACCAAGGCTCCTTGTGGATGTAACCCGTGCCTGAACTGCCCAGCCTCACGGCATCAAGGCTGGAGCAGGCAGAGAGCGTGACTTGTGCAAGCGCAGCTCTGGGAGGGGAGTATCCTGACAGCAAGCCCTGGAGCTGATTGCCATCTCAGTGGGAGTGCCTGTTGTGGGGTTGGAAGAGAAATAGGACCGTCAGAAAGAGCTTTTTGGGAATCAGCACCCAAGGGCTTGTCCCCAGGAGCTTACTTGAAGAATCCCCAGTTTTTAACTCCCTTCACACGCAGCATGGAGCAAGGCAGCTGCAGGGTCGGGTTTACCTCCTTTGCACATTTCCTGAGGCTGCACAGACCTTCCACCATTCCCACATCCTCCCATGTACCCAGGGCAGGGACAGCCATCCCCAGCCACCACACCTACACCACAAATCGGTGTCAGGGACCACAGCAAAGGTCAGCCCTGGGCAGCACCCTGCAAACAGCAACGCACTGCCTCCTGCCCCACCTGTGGCCACTGCCCATGGAAAGTGCTTTCTGCTGGAAGGCTGGGTCCCCCCAGCCTCTCTCTAGGCAGCATGTGCTTCTCCATACCTCTCACTGGTTCACTGCTCATGCCTGCTGGCCTGGCCCTTTCTGCCTGGAACTAGCTGCTCCTGAAAAGTTCTGGTGCATGGCCCAGAAAGACTGCTGGGAAAGTCTAGGAGCCCAGTTCACAGGTCCCTTTCCCAGCTGGACACACTTACAGAAGCCCAGAGGATGATGAGCCTTGTGTTTGCTGTTATTTTTAATGCTGAGGGTAAGTGCTATCTCACTGGCACCCTCAAGGCTGCTGAGATGACATTGCTAGTTTGCTCTGAAGCCCATTTTGCAGAGGAAAGCCACGTCCCAATGCCCCAGGGGCGGGCTGGGTGCCAGCAGCAGCGCAGAGCAGGGCTGGGTCTTGCTGGCTGGGAGCTGTGGGTGCTGTCACCCTGGGAGGCTGCTGGCAAGTGCAGTGGTGGGAGTGGAGGGCAGGGGGCCAAATGAGGCCTGGCCAGCTGGGAGGCATGGTGGTGGCCCAACAGCCATGGCTGGGGTTTGCCTTTGACACAGACGCCTGTGTTTGTTGTGCTGACTGGGTGGGAGGTGAGGCAGCACCAGCTGGTTGAGTTTGTCCCACTGAAGCGTGCTCAGTGAGAGCAGAGCCTTCTGGCATCAAGCACATGGGAAGTTTTAACACGCTTATCAGATTGGGCTGCTTCTAACACCAAAGATTTTGACATTGGACATGTACCTCTGACCCCTGAGGGTTTTGGCCAAGTCCCAGGAAGGCTGGTGTGACAGTAAGATGCAGAGCAGTCTCTAAGGAAGTGCATACATAAACCGTAGCCAAAAATACCCCAGTGTGTTATGAACTATCTCTGTCTATGTAAATACGGTGGTTCAGGTTAAGGAAAGACATGGTTAAGAAAGAGTTTTAGAAACATCCCTCAAGTCAACATCTTTTACATCAGTCAGTGCTGTTCTTCCTTCCTCTTTTCTACCAGGGCAAAGAGGTTGAAACACAAAAGAGCAAAGCACTCGGAGCCAGCTCTTGCTTTGTTGTACTGCACCTTTGCTTTCCCCACCATGGGTGGCTGGCTCTGCCTTGCCAGCTACCTCCCACCTTGCTCAGCCTTTCTGTACGTCTGCTCAGAGTGAAAGTAACAGATACCAGGCTTTCCTGGTGTGACAGCCAACTGCCTCCCCACAAGGCACCTCCCTGCCTCAGCTGAGGGCTGAAAAGTGCTGTCTCAGATCCAGGAGCGAAGAGTTGGGGGCTCCCCACAGGCATGGCTTCCCAGCAGGCACTACCAGGGGCTAGGACACGGCCAGGAGGCTCTGTGGAGTGCCACAGAGGGCTCAGGTCAGCAGTCACAGACCCTTGTCCAGCAGCACTGCACACCTCCACTTGAACCTTGTTACAGCCACAGGCAACGAGGTGGCTCATGGCAGGAGCCACCATGCTCTAGACTTCTGCAGATGTCATGTCACAGACCCAGTGAAGCTGTGGGTGGGGCAGGACCTTTGCCCCAAGCCCAGGAAAACCAGCTCCCCAGGCAAGCACCAGCACAACACCTACCCACCTTCCCTTGGGGGCAGTCAACACTCTTGCCCTGCATGGCTTGGGAACCCCTGGGGTGGGCAGCTATGCACAGGACCCCACGAACACCAGAAGCAAAAGCACATGGAGCCATCACAGTGTGAGGTTTGATCTGGAGACCACATGGGGTCCTTAAACAAGTGCCAAGTGCTTTGCAACCGAGTCCTGCGGGACTCCCATCACAGAAAGCACAGCTGCTACATGAGGGAAGCATGTTTTGGTCTGGGTTTATTAAAGACAGAGAATACAACTGTGGGCCCAGCCACAAGAGCTGGGTGCCAGAAGCAGGGCTGGGTTTTGGCTGGAAGGGTGTGGTCTCCTCTCCAGGCGGCCTTCAGCAACACTGGCCAAATTTCCTATCCGGCAGGGCGTCCCAACGCCCCCACCCCGGCAGCATTCCATCTGGAGAAGAGCCCCTCACCACACTAGCCCCAGCCTCGGTTACTTGTTGCCGTTAACGTGCTTGTCTAGTATAGAGTGAGTTAAAAACAAAAATGCATGTCTGTCGCAGTGCGTTTGTGCTGTCTTCAGGCTGTGCTGGAGGCCCTGGCCAGCAGACCTGGAGAGGGGTGGAAAAGAGGGGCGAGTGAAATCAGGCTGCGCTGGGAGCAGAGACATCCCAGAGACAACAGTGCTCTGGGACGGACCCTTTCTTTGCCAACAAGCCAGAAAGCAAAAGCCTTTTGCATCTGCTGCCAGAGCTAAGCAGATGCTGGCGGTCACTTGAGGCTGGTGGAGAGCCGGATCTGGCATCCAGCACCCAGCAGGTTGCTCCTGAGCACCAGTGTGAGGACTGGGAATGACAGCCAGCCTGGAGAGCTGCCGCCTGCCTGGGGGTTGCAGTCCCAGCCAGCTCACGGAGCAGGAGGCAGGAGGGAAGCTCTGAGGGGAGGCACAAACCTGAGGTTTACTTGAACGTGTGGCTCTCGGCTCCTCCCCGGCCAAACCCTGGATGAGAGACAGAGTGGGGTCAGCATCGCCGTGCGATGGTGAGCACACCGAGGGACGTGTCCCACTGACAGACAGGAGCCCTGAGCCCCCTGCCCCTCCCTCCCAGAACCCCAGCCACAGCAACCAACCTTTGGGCCCAAACAAGGCAGCATAGCAGGGGTGGTTGCAGTAGGGCTTGCCATCGTGCTGCGGGGAGAGAGAAAGAGCATCAGCCCAGACCACGCTTCTGCTCCATCTGAGCCCATCTCACCTGTCCTGCAGCCCTAGCTGCAGGGGACAGGGACCTCCTGGGCAGCAAACCTCACCTCTGCATGGCCTCCAGATGTCAGGGTCTTGTTACACTTCTCGCATCTCAAGCAGGGCCGGTGCCAGTCCTTCCCCAGAGAAGTCACCTTCTCGGCTGCCACAGAAAGGAGATGGGTTAGTTGAGGCACTGAACAGGCACAAGTGGGTTTTGGTAGGTTGGCCTCCCTGACACCAACCCTAGGGAGAACAGTTTTGGGCATGTTCTCAATTCTGTTTGTCCAGGACAGAGGGCACTGTGCTTCAGATCCAAGTGCTGGCTGTGCACACGCACACTGCTGTGCACACGCAGGCACCCGGATCCAACACAGCCGTGCCATGCCCAGGGTGGACATCACTGCCTCCATGCAGATGGACTGACTCCCATCCCTCTTCCATAGGTCTGGGGACCTCCCCACTTCCAACAGCAGCGTGCAAGGGGATTAATTTCTCCCCAGCCAGCTGGAGCCCAAGCAATCGCCGGAGTTGGCAGGGGCAAAGGGGGCATGCTGGCAAGGACCAGGGACAAAAAGCCACCACTGTGCCCTTCCAACATAAACCGGTCCCCTTCAGCCACTAGCACTCCAGCCACAGCTCTGATTCTGAATGCAACATGGCAAACGAGAGCGGGGCTGGAGCTTGGCTGGGGCTCAGGCGACCACAGAGGGGACAACATGCTGTTTGCTGGGACCAGGATGTGTTTATGGAGAACAGCTTTTAATTGCGGCACAGCAGGGGAGGAGGGTATTTTCTGCAGGCACGTGTGCTCTTCATATTGGCAGCTGTGCTCCTGGGGATTTATTGAGTGATAAAGCAGAGCTTTCCACAGGAACCCCATCAGAGCCAGGCCTGAGCACTCTTCCCATGCCTGCAAAAGGAGGTCAAGCAATGGTACCGAGCCGCTGCTGGCAGTGTGTGCCCTGGCAGGGCCCTTGGCAGCCTGAAGCACCTCTTCTTTGGAGTCCAAATATGCCCACAACAGCTTATGCAAGGAGCAAGCTGGTGGCTGCAGAGGTGGAAGCAGACATGGTGCCCAAACGTCACGAGGCAGCCCCGCTGCCATCCCCCACGGCCACAAAGAGCCTCCTGTGCTCTCAGCCGGGCGGGTGCCGCAGCGTCCTCCCCCTGGGCAGCCCCAGAAGCCCGAGCCTGGCCTGCAGAAGGGCCATCCCCTCAGAGCTGCTGGAAAAAGCTCAGCCTCCCCACCTCTCACACCAGCATTTGCATCAATGCCTGGGCAGGAGCTCTGCCAAGGCCTGATGCAGCAGGGCCCCCCTGCCTCTTGGCTATGCAGGCAAGATTCCCCTTGAAAGCTGCTAGTGGCCCTGCCAACCCCATGCCAAGTCCTCTCGGCATCATCTCCTCTTCACTCCTTCTCTCTACAGGCACAATTTGGCCAAAAGAAGCCCAAGGCACACCCAAGCAGGACCGTCAGTCTCCAAGAACCCCCGGGAGTCCCGGAGCAGGGCTTGCTCTGCCTCCTCTGCCAGCACTCCTTATCTCCAGGGATAGAAATCAGGCTCCATCCTCCAGCAGATTTTGAACCCTCCTCAACCTCTACATCAACAGAGCCAGTTTCATAAGAGCAGTCTGATAAGAGCAGGGCCAAACCCCTCCTTGGTCAAACGTCTCTGTCTCAGTACCTCCGTGGCCACACCTGCGGGCACAGCAAACCTGGCATCAAAGCAGATCCGCAGGGACAGAGGAAAGGCAAACACTGACACCAGCACCTTGGTAGCTCCTGGTATCAAGACACATGGGTAAATGAGGTGCCCCAGGGCCCTTGGTTGCAGGAGGGAGCCACAAACTGTATTGTGCCCAAACCCCACCTCAAAGCTTGGCCGCAAGCAGTGAGTTCAGATTTAGGCAGAGATGTTCCCTAATCACAGGAGCCACGTCCCCAGCAGCCCTCTGGGCAGCACCCACAGCAGCCCCAGCACACTTCCCTGGGGTGGGCATCACCGACAGGCATGGCTGTTTGGCCGGGAGAGCAGACCCCGCGTTTGAGCCTCTGATTTCCTTGGCGGAGCAGAAGTAGAAGTTAGGGCATGGACACAAGCAAAGCAAAATAAGTCAGAGAGAGCAGAAGTTAGTGACAGCACTCAGGTCCCAAATCCCTCATCTCTAGGAAATGAAAAAGCAGAGAATGCACATAAGGTGCTCCCAGCATACCCCCTCAAGTTCAGCTAAACCAGGGAAGTGGGGAGGTCTGGCAGATGAAAGTCTCTCCCAAAATATCCTTAGGCAGGACAGTGGGGCCAGAAGGGGCAGGAATCTGGAGCTTCAGTGCCCCAGCTCAGAGGGAGGGCACGTACCTGAAGCCCAGCAGCAGACAGCTGCCCGGCAAGGCTTGTGGCTACCCTGCAAAGGCACCTTAACAGTAACACCGCAGGGCTGGCAGCTCTCTGTGCTAAACCACGTAGGACAACATGCGGGCAACCCACCGAGCCAGAATCATGTGCCCTTCGGAAGGTGCTTGCTTGCCCCCTCAGGCTTTCAGAGCAGCAGGCTGCACCAGCCGGGCTTTTGGGCTCCAGGGCCCGCCCAGCCGCCCGCTCGGCACAGAGAAGGAAACGGGGCTGAG